TCTACTAGTAGTGTGTTTCCTTGAGGGCTGCTACTTCCTCTATTCTTTTTTCTGCCATCAAAGGAAATGACCAAAAAAAAACACAACAGTAAAAGCAGATCTGAAAAACAGCTTTCAATGCCACATGGTTTACAAGTGTAGAGCTGTACTTCATCAACTCAAGAAGCTGAACAATTAAGCCCAACCTTTGCTGTATCAGAATGTCCTCAGATATTTACTGAAAAGTAGATTTAACCAAGAAGATCAGATATACCAAAAGGGAGCAAAAGAACACAGCCGAATGGGAGAAGAGGGAAGTAAATATCTATGAGACTGTAGAAGAATTTACTGATAATTACATAGTTTCTCCGCCTCAGGAAGAAGGTGAGTAAATCATAGGTGATTTAGTTTGTTTTAAGGATCTTTTAATGAAGCTCTTAATACTGCGGTTATCTATAACTGCAGAACAAAAGCATCTTTAGTTTTTGGTAATTGAAATAAAAAAAAAAAACAAAAAAAAAAACGGAAGCTCATAAAAAACAAGAAGTTGAAGTATTTTTATCTTCTGCTGTTTCTGATAATCATGGCTCGTAGAAAGGAAAGCACAATTCAAAGAACCAGAACTGCTGGTCATCCACTGTATTAAGTCCTCAGTCATCAGAGAAAACTCTGCGTGATTTTTAGAGTTCTTTATGCTTCCATATTATTTCCCTGACAAGTTTTATGGAGATACAGACCTCATTCTTCAGAATGACTAGATAGCAGCTATATTTATTACAATAAAGAGAAATTAACACTTTCCCATGGAATCTCTTCCCCTGCAGGCCAACAAGCCAACAGACAGCCTGCAGTGGAGAGAAGTTGTGCCCGAAGAGCAAAACTGTGCAACATACTGCCATGGATTTTGATATCAGCTGCAATCATCATCTTACCCACATACTGTGAGAAAAATGTGCAACAAATCAATTTAAAATGTTTTTTGGTCTAAATGCAGATTAATCTTAGCCTGCTTATTGACTGATAAGTCAAAATCTCTACTATAAGATACTGAAGACTAAACTGATGCTGATTGGTTTCTGAGTTTTCTCACCAACAGCAGCTTTACTAAAAAAAACAAAAAGATTGTCTTTTCAGCTTCAGGTTGTAAAATTAACACATTTACCTCTGTAACAGTTTAAGTACACACACTAAGATAACAATAATAAAATCTAGTTTTTGAAACTGTTGTGTTACAGACGACTGGATGAGGTATTGCTGCGAATGAGATAAAGAAACCTCACAAAAAGACATTGAGCAGATTCTGTGAAGAAATAACAAGACAGATGAGATAACTGTAGATAAGCAAAGGTTAAAAACATTAATGACCAGTACTTAAAGCGCAATAATGTTAAAATTATCCTCAAAAAGAAATAAGTTCTTATGAAATATATTGTAATATATTCATGTTGAAATGGTGGTAGAGTTCCAGGGAGACTGTAATGTAGTCTTAAGTATAAACAAGTTAAAAAGCAATATTTTGAGACTTTTGTGAATTTAGTATAAATAGATGACTTAGAAATTGCATTTAGGTAGGCATCAAATCCTTTCAAGGAAACTTTGTTGATCCATCATTATCAGCAATGATCACCTCTGTTCTTTTTAAATTTCATGCTAGAAGCCTAACACACCTAGTCTGATCCATCAGGTTTGACAGGAAACATCTGTGCACAGCCATTTTCAGATGTCTCCAGTTCTTCAAAAGGATTCCAAAATGTACCTCTAGAATATTTTGAATAATTTCCCCAGTTGAGATTAAGAACCCCCTGGAATAGATTTATATCCAGACTCTCTCTGTACATTATTGTGTTCATCTTCCTATCTATCCTAGTCTGCCTGTTCCTGCTGATGGAAACATCCCCGTAAAATGAATCCTACATGTTATGAATGCTGGCGTACCATAAATGTTAAATTATAAACAGTTTAGTTTGTGCCTTCAACTCGTTGCCCATAGGAAGATATTACTTGAATATAAACTAACGGAATATCTTCAGAACAGCTCCAAATGACACAAAACTCATATGGGTGAGTAGAACATGATGTAATAAC